GTCATGGCATTTTAATGAACATGAATATAACTTAGGCTAATGAAAATAGGTTACATACAAATAAAGTAAATCTAGCCAGTTGTCATAGATACAACTCTACATTCTTGAATAAAGTCTATTTCCATCATATTTATTAGTCTTTTTTTAGAACACCTAGTTCTAAATTTGGATAGCAAAACTTATATTAAAAAAAGTGCTTTGGTATAAATCAACAAGTCTATAACAAGTAAGCCTGAGGGAGAAATAAAACTGACAACAATGTACACAAACTGCTGTAGTACATATTGTTCCAGATGAATGGCATAATAATAATAGAAGCTACAGTGTTAGGCCTAACGTCTGTACTCTAACTGAAGTAAGAGTGTCTACACAAGGGAGTTGCCCCAATTTAACTAAATCAGTAATTCCCTTGTGTAGACAAGACTTCATGTGACCAACCCGACTACCTCAACAATTGCTCCTCCTTGGCCTTTTGGTTAACATCAGGCATAGTATCCATTTAATATTTTATCCTATCTATAACCTACCTTTGCAGTGGGTGGCCTGAAAAATTCCAGCTGATGTTTTCCCATCTCTAAATTGTACAAGTAACCAGTCTCTTCTCAAACATTACTATTTCAGTGCTACACGTTTCTGCTACTCTGCAGTAAGTCACTGAACTTCAAAATTAGAATTGGTAATTTATTCTTCCCCCAATGATGAAAGGTCCTTTATAAGGTAGAAAAGTTTACAACCACTTTTAAAGACATTTGACCTAAGGTTTTAATATCCGATCAATGACAACTCAATCCAATATACCACAAAGCTTGTCTAGCAGCTCTAAAGTCTATTTTTGAACATCTGCCAATTGCCACTGAAGCAAAAATAAGTAACCTTGTCCTCATTGTCTCCTTTCTGCACCTAATTCGGGCTTGAACTAACGTTCGGGAGATCTGGAGTCTGCTGGCCTTTAAGAGGTAGGGTTCTACGTCATTTGGAGAGGCAATTTTTCAGAGCTGGAAGGAAATCTGGGAACAGGAAAATGGATTACACACAATTAGAAGCTCCAGAAATGTTTCAGCAAAATAACTGTACCACAAAAAGGCACACTGGAATAGTGTGGAGTGTACACACAAAAAGGAGCCTCATTTTATATCACTTAACAGATAATGGCCATCAGCAAAAAGTTCAAAGCCACTCAAATCATACAAGGGTTAAATGTCTTTCCTATGCATAGTTTAGGCTGCTCTGCAATGAAAAAATGGACACAGGGCAGATCTAAACAACTCTTCATCTGCTTTTTAATTTGGAAATTAAAGTGATGTGCTTTATTGCTGGGGAAATCTTCACAAAGCTTTGTAAGGGCTCCATCACCGCCACTCCAATACAGAAAGATCAGGCAATCACAAGCCTTAGCAGAGGAACTACACAACTTGACATTAATTCTGTGTCAAGGGCTTCACAAAGTTTCTATCTGTTATGACTGTAACTTAATATAAAGCCCAGTACCAGGAGTTAGGAGACAAGTTCTAACCCCAACTCACTGTGTCACTCTGGCTAAGCCCCTTAGCATTTCTGCATGGTACAATTGGAATGTCATTTCTACTCTTCTAAGGCTATTTATTATATTGTAAAGTGTATTGTGCTCCCTTGATGACAGATGCTACTTACCCTTATTGTCAAAACACTTCAAATTGTCATAAAACATGGGGCAGAAATTATCCACAATATTCAGACAAAGGAAAGGCAGAAAGCAAGCTTCCCCACCCCACCTATGCCAATGTATCTACATAATTACTACTAGCCCACCACTTGTGTTTGGGGGTGTATACTCCCACTGACATGCAAGGTATTTATGCCCAAAACCCATTAGCACTGATCAGAATATTCTCTCTAATCCCCACAGATATCAGTGGGAGGAACCTGGATCTCCCCCCTCTCTCACCCCACCCCCCCCATTTGGTCCTGGGAGTCATGATAAGCAAGTGTTTTAAGATCACTAGGATCACTTTCAATATTCATTTTATTGTTGCAGTTAGGATGGCCAAACCATAGCTAAAGATGGAGACAGTCATAGCAATTGAAAACGAATGCAGCAATAAATTGGTCGTTTCATTCCCAAAGAACTTGCTTGCTCAGTGAAGTTTCACAAAAATTTGCAACGAGGGAGAAGATCACCATCACATTTGTGCTGCTACTGATGAAGCATATTTTCTCTTGAGTACAACATAAAGCTATTTGAACTCTGGAACAGATTTGTATCATCACCTAGGAAACCAGGTCATAGACCAAGACCCCATTCTAATATACAAACACAGAACAAAAAGATGGCGACTTGTGGTGATATTAGGAGGAAGGGCCTTGAAGGGGAAATTAAAAAAAAAAAGAAACTGCATGTTTATCTTATATCACCACCAGCAATGAACAATTCAGCCTCTTTTCTCCTTAACGGTCTTAAATATCGATGGGTAGAAAGTTAATCTTCTATGTAGCAATGCAAGTTTTTCATTGCCATTTTATCTTGTAAATCCAAAATGAAATACTGGAATTAATCAATTTGACTTTAAAAACCGGGCAACTGTTGCCTTGTGATCAGAGCGAGAACAGACAAGTCTTTATTTTTATTCAGTGTTCTGTATAAAGAGTAAATTACAACAGGCAATGTGAACTCTCTGAAGTGCACATCTTAAAGGCTGCTTAATATACTGATCATATGTTAACTTAACTCAACTGCAACAGACTGACCAATCCCATGTCACTTGTATTCTCTCTCCACCATTAAACACTGGGAAAATTCAGTGTTTATGAAAGTGAGAGTGCTAACATTGGCAAGAGTAAAGCCACCCACACTTGGCACTATTAAACAGCATGGTGGCCCTGTCTAACACTAACGGCCAAACTTATTTCAAATGTTTACACAATTTGGTGCACATACAAATTTTCTCAGAAACAGAAGTAGTTTTATGTCATTATATCCAATAAAGAATGGCCTTATTTCATTTTAAACTGTTCACACATGCGTAACAGGTATATGTCCAGCACTGTTTTGCAGCAGAGCTGAAAAAAAATGAAAAACCTTTAGTATTTATAGTCACTGCTAAATACATTTAAAAGACAAGTACATATGAGGCCACATAGCACATTAAAATAGTTTCTTTTCAGCTCAAAAGCACAGCGGCCAGAAAACAATACTTTGATCTTTGAATAGCTGTCATATAATGACCTTGCTGCCTGAAACCCTAGTAGACTATAAGCCTCAAATTTAGCCAGAATTCTCATTCTTCGGTGTCTAAAATGCATGTCATAGATGCTGAACACCTGCAGGTTCCACTGAATTTCCAGCCAGCAGCAAGTGGGAGTGTTGATAGAGAGCACTGACTTCTCATGTGGAAGTGTGGCCTATGAGGCTACAGCAAGTCAAAGTGCGATCGCCGCTTTTTTGTGTCTTTAGGCTAAACCAAGTAGTGCAGGTGTGTGGTATTCTGCAAGCCTCTTCTGAGGGCCAATGCATCTTACCCTGGAAGGGCTCTAATAGTCTGAGCAGATGCCCGTTGTTTATAAGAGCAGGGCGCACTGCAACTACTTCACTAGTGACAAGAACAGAAATCACTGCTCTTTTATTCTTATTCTATATAAAATGTAAACCTTGCTGAAGGCAAAATGAAAATAGCTTTAAGCCATGACAAAGATTTGTTCTGAAGGAACAGCAATCTTTACAATGGAACTGAAAGTTCACCTGTGAACAAAGTAGACTTAAATCATCATGCCATATGGGCTTCAGGCAGCCTTGCAGACAGCCAATACAACATTTGAATTTTGTCCTAGCTTTATACAGGGCCACTTTCTTATTAGTCATTCTAATGAAAGTGGTCTGCAAAACAGGAACAATATTTTTTCTCCCTAAGGAAATACTACCGGCTTTTTACCCTATCTGCTTCATTTTCAGGTCCCAGAAGCTTGTTGCTAGACAACTACTATCAGCAACACAACCTGGAGTACATGCAAAGGTCTTCAGTCCTGTGGGTCCAACTATCATTAGACTTAACAGTCAGGGAAAACAACGTATTTGGCTATGACATCCAAGAAGATCTCTCCCTTTTCAAAAGCTGCGTTTTCATCTGTTAATAACTTTGGTAGAAGATTCTGGTAGGGCATGTCAGAGAAAAAGTAGTACCCACCGGTAAGTACCTTATGGCATCTTTCCACAACCAAATTAGATGCCTGTATTATAAATCATTTGAGAATGGGAGTCTAAAAACAGCTATTTTATTTGACGTTCTCCCAGCACTCATCCACATAATGCTGCACACCACTTCATGTACAGCTAGCTGATTCTAGAAGTGCAGCATCAATAACTGTAATTAAGCAGTTAATATAGTCTTTGCTATTATAGAATTTAAGCTCTATGAAGTCTGTTGACCCAGTAATCAGTTTCAATGTGAAACTTGCTTAAAAGCCTCGTTTCAAGCTTGAAAAATTGATTGGCATCAATCATAAAATCCACATTCAGACCCAGAGGTAAAGTACTTAAACTCCATAGTCTGTATAAATGCTCGTGAGAATAAAACATTTCTTTCCCCAACTTTTCTTTATTTCACTATCAAGACTGTTACTTTGCTGTTTTTATTGCAGAAGCCAACATAGCTGCCTTGGCGTACGGATCAGTGTACCAGGATCATAAGACATCAGCAGGAATCTGTGCATCCATTAGTGCTCTTGTAGAGCATTATGCAGACTACATTGTGTGTGATCACATCACACAAAAGTGATAGCTTTTAACTTTACAACTAGCCATTTTTCAAGCGTAAATAAATGTAGATGTGGGAGGGATACTGAGGCTGAAGCTATCCCTATAATCAATCATAAAATAGGTTAGAAAATGCTTGGAAGGGTCAGTCCTAAGCATATGTACTGCATTTATTAAGGGACATGGATATACAAATCAATGTCACTGGGCAAAAGGTATTGGGTCCAATGACAGTAATCTCTTCTCTTTGAAAGTAACAGGTGCAGACACCATATCCACAAAAAAAGGCTTATCATCCTTGTTTAATTTTCCTTAAAATAGTTTATGCCCTTTTCCATGAGGCCAACACTTGTATTTATCTATCAATCTTAATAGTTTCTACCAGGATCAATGGTATTCAGGTTATAAGATGAACTTTCATGCTCAATCCTTTGAATTAGTACAATCATAAGCCAATCTGTATTGTGATTCTGTCCATTTCCCTCCATAAACATTGAGTGAACTTTTCTGTTCTGACCCAGCTTTTTTAAATATGAACAAGCTCTGGTCATAGCATGGCAGCATGATGAGCAAGCAAGAGGACAAGACAAGTTACTGAAGAGAAGCTCATCAATAGCAAATATTGGAACTACTCAATGGAGGGAGACATTTACCCAAAGCGAAGTCCATTGCTGGCAACGGATATGCCAGGGCACTACCACCATAAGATTTAGAACACTTGGGACAGAAACTAGAAGAGACACCTGAACCTAAATGGATTCTTATGTCTGTTTTCAGGACATTTTTAAAAAGAGCATGAAAATAAACCTTTATGTCAGTTAACACCCACTAATATTAGAGAGAGATAACTTCACAGTTTTAGTTCTTGACATAAATGGACTAAAAGAGGCAAATTTACATCTATCAGAACAGCAGATGGACCAACTTTATGTACAGGCTGTCTTTAAAAGGTGTATTATATCTGACATGTTATTCAAGGTATTGCTCTATACTCTGATATGCAAAGAGGCAGACAACTTCTGTGACAATGTCAGGGTAGCAAGGCTCAAAATGCTTGACTGGCACAGGAGTAGTCTGGATAAAGAGTTAAGATTCATGGTGGAGAGCACAAATATATAGTTTGGGTGGAAGGGATTCTATTACAGCAAAAGCTTTTCAATTAAGGTGATTCTGGAAATCAAGCTATTTGCACAGTTGTATTATCAGTTGTATTCCTAATTGACAGATGCCATTATAACCTTCAACACATTCCATGGTGTGGAATGTGCAATTGCAAAGGGAACACAAGTAATTAATGAAGATTTACCTCTTGGTGCCAGGAACTGGAATATCCCAATGCTAAGCACCTGTGTAAAACATGTTGAGTGTCTGATCCAGGAACAAAAAATGTTACTATCCACTGTTTGGAAAAATGTACTCCTTCACAGAGCCAACTATTTTAAACTGATAAGTGAGTGCACTGCAAGAGTCTAATCCAATGGTATTAACATTTGTTTAAATCAGCACAAGTGTGTATTGGGGTTTTTTGGGTAGAAAAGAGTTTAGATAAAGCAAGCCAGCTAAACAACAAAAGTTTCATATCCAAAGGTTTCCAATATTTTTTGCCTGTCCTATACAGATTTTAAAAAAATAGGGCATTACCATTTGTTTTCTATCTATCTGGTTAAGAAACTACAAATATTTTAAAGCTGCTCTAAGAATAAAACATTAAATAAAATGAGCAACCTGTTTCTAGTCTCCTAACAAATGCTGCAGACAAAAGAAAAAACCTAAGAAATCTTTTTTTATTAGTCATTCTCTCAAGTCCTTTCATATTTGGAAAGTGGTAATGTTCCTGTTCACAGGGATTAAATTAACCTAGAAGGAATTTCTACAGGGCGTAGCAGGTCTTCTTACAATCACCCTCTGAAAAACATTTATTTGTCAGCGAGTAATCAGAGACCAAAGGGTGAAGAAATGGAGCAAAACTTCAGAACAAAATTTAGAGCAAAAGGTAAGGTTTTTTTGGTTTGTATCCCATGCAGACCACAGATGTCTCCTATTTAAGGGATTTGTTCGGACTTAAATGAGTCAAATATTCTCCTCCCAGGCCTAGATGGTGTCCTTTGTTTTCCTCTTCAGAACAAGAATTGCAGCTAATGGAACAGTGTGTAAATACATCAGATGGTGATGTATTTATATAAACATACTGCACTGCCAAAATTCCATAGTCCAAATGAAATTTAAATAGACTGTATTAGAAATAGATGATGCTCCCTTTCTCACCTCCCAGTCCTGTAGAGCAGAAAGAATTAGAATTGCCCCAGTCTAGAGGATACTTTCCCAAAGAATAATATTAAGTAGGATAAACAACGTTTACCAATAAAAGTATCTAGTTTTGTTGAAAGGAGAAAGGAATAAAGGTAAAAAGGGTGAGTGACAGGTGTAATATAATTTTAAAAAACTTTTTAGACCAATCATCTGCACATCACTGCTGGATCAATATGCAGGTACTTGACCAAAAACCAATGTGCTTTGACTATTTTTCAAGTATTTGATATCAACTTTGTATAAAGATTCTGCATACACAACAAACTACCAAAGATAGATGAAAAATGACTGTTTTTCCAAGTCTGAAATTAAGTATTAAAAACTAAATTAAAGTATTCCAGAATAGTATTCCACATGGTACTAACAATTTGCCAAATTAAATTCTATGTATCCCAACTGACCATGGGTTGATAAAAATCGGCTAAGTAGGTATTAAAGGAAACAGAAATAGTGTGCAATATTTAAAAACCAGTTTGTAGTTTGGAGAAAACGTCTAAAATCCCGAATTAAAAAACACAAATGAAGTGAAAGCTTTAACTGGTACACACTGTTCACACCTATATTTCAAGTTTGGAAACGCATATTTTCAAGCAGCAATACAAAAAAGTATCCATGAAGAATGCATAATCTCTGAAAAAATTATGAAAACATCCCTGCTACCATTACATTTCTAAATACAAAACTGACTACCATATTGTTGCTTCTGTGTAGCGAGAGAAGTTCATTTTCAAAACAGATAAAATTCAGTCTTTAGGTGTGAATGGTATGAATGACAGTCTCATTTTTTAAATTTCTTAGTTGTTTAGGATCCTTAAGCATGCAAGCCTCGTAGAGGAGGGCCCAGCGAGGGGGCAGAGGTGGCTTATGACATCCAGTTTAGGACAGAGCTGGGAAAGCCTCTGGGTCATCTACATCAGGAGCAGAAGCACTTGACTGAAAGAAAAACATATTATAGAAATTAACTGGAGAACCACAAAGTTTTTAATCTTTACACTTTTCGTCTTTTTTAATGTTATGCATAATGATACACTTGTGTCTAGCAATTTGGAAGCTTAAAGTTAAGAAAATGGCTAAAATGCCAAACAATGGGTTTTCAAAGTAGTATATAAAACAGTCAGAATAAAATTACTGAAATTTCCTATGATTTTTTCCACAATAAATCACACTGAGAATTATTCTAAGTACTGTCAGATCTCTCACACTAACATTTTACTGTTGCTACTCCACTATTCAGTTATCCATTTTGGACATCACTATAGGTATAGTACATCTCTCTTATACCTTTTGAAAAACACATGGCACTATGAAACGTGTGTGTGTGTGTTTACATATGGCTGATCCCATTCTATTAGAAGTACAGCCTTAGACATAACGAAGTGACAACCTGTGATGTGGCCATATATTGACACAAATTCTAAGTCTTGTCATGGCATAAAGGGATGGGTCACAACAGTGTTGTTGACTGTATAGTTTTTATTCATAGATGAAAATGTAAATATTTTGTCACTTTGAAATCTGTAACTATTTATGCCAACACAGAGATATACAATAGAACTGGGGAAAAATAAGTTTCTTGGGAATTCACAGAATTTAAATAAGACTAGTTTTTCAGGAATAGAATTCTGTTAAACCCAAGTCTGAGCTCCAGTGGAAACCTGTGCTAACATATACTAGAGTTGAAATACACCAAGCAACAATTGGCAAGCTAAAGCTGAACTAAAAAGTCCCTTAAGCACATCTTCAACCATCTTTTATGAAGGTTGCTATGCTGCATCTGAATAAAGATGTAATGATTAAATTATGAATGAAGAGGCTTCAACCTCAACCCAATGTTCCAAAAATCCAAACTGCAATTGCAAGCAAGAAGGAATTTCAAACGAACAGAAAGAGCAGAAATGCCAAAATCCAAATATAAGACTGAGGCAAGAAAGCAGTCCCCTATTTTTTTATATATATACATACACATACACACACACACACCCCTCCATCGCTGGGAGTATGGACATCAGAGGGACAAGGATCTGCTATGCCAGGTCTCTAGCCCTCCTGTTTTTCCATTCCATCAAAACTAAAAAGATAAGCCATAAAAGCCAATCCATGCAGAAACCAATTGTCTCCGCAATAGACTAGCCTAATTCAAAGGTAAAATAAACAAAACACTATCATTGTAAATCACCAACCTGATTGGGTGTGTGGATCACGTCAAACTCCTTCACCAACTGGAAGGAAACACACAAAGTCAACACAAAATAGCTGCAAGATCTGAAAGCCTTCAAGAATGCCATCACAAAAACAGTCAAAGAAATTAGATGTCATACTGGAGTACCAAGTTAGAACAAGAAATACCTGGATTTTGGGCGTGATTCTAAGGAAAGAAAACCCAATTCAACAGCATTTGTAGAAGCATTTCCCAACTACTAAATCTAAACATCCAAGATGAGCTAATGCAGAAGAGAAAAGAAAACCAGATTTCTGTGAGTGGTGCAAGTGAGCAAGGTATTTTGAATAAGGAGCGACTACAAGCTGGCCTACATTTGAAAAACTGCACCAGTGCTGCAACTAAATAAATTTAAAAGGTGCAAACCTCTAGCATAGATGCACTTAAATTGGTTAAATGACCAACTAAACTTGCTCATATTGTATCTATAGCAGGGATGATTTGCTTTAGGGTTATACTGGTACAGTTCTTCTAATGCAGACAAGCCCTAGGTGCTTTCGCTTTCTAGAGAGAGAGAGAATTGTTGCAGAAACCAGGAAAATAGAAACTACTAAAGCAGTAATGACGGAAGTCTACCGAGGACAAGAAAAGGTAGAGGGAATTAATAAGTATTTTAAGTGAAAACATGAAGACCTGGTTTCTACAGTCTGCTAACTTTGCATACTTTTCTAGAGGAAAATTTACATCTTCTGGAATATGTCTCAGTCAATGGAAAAAATGCAACCATAAACTGTGAGTTGCGTGTCAGGGATAATATAGACAATTAGAGATGACAAAGCATTCCTAGGCACCGTGTAACCTATAATGAAACCTGAAAGAATCCCTGTAGAGAGATACTAACCTTTGAGAGTCAATTTTGCCAATAATGAAAACATTGCCAAGTTGCATCCTTAAGTTCTAGTAGAAAACTAGTTTACCTTAAACTTACAGGGATATATGCTAATTATGCAGTTTAAGTACCTCAAAAGTGCTGATTATGTGTTTCCTAGCTGTGACAGGCTCTTTCTCCACTCCAACAGGAGGAGGAAGGATTTACTACTAAAACAATGACCTCTATAAAAAGAATACACATATATCACAGATTCCTAGGCCAGAATGGACCACTGATCATCTAGTCTGGCCTCCCGTACAACACAGGCCACAGAACTTCCCAAAAATAATTCCTAGAAAATATCTTTTAGAAAAACACCCAATCTTGATTTAAAAATTGTCAGTGATGGAAAATTCACCACACCCCTTGGTAAACTGCTGCAGTGGTTAACTACTCATGTTAAAAATAATGGCTTATCTAAAAATGGCAGAGATTTCTGGAAAAGCTTTATCATCTATTAACCCAATTTGCTGGGAAAGAGACTGTTAAAAAGAAAATAATTTGTGGATCTAAGCAGATTACTTACCTTGTCAGTTCTGCTTCCACGCCCGGGCCTTCCACCACGCCCCCGGCCACCTCTACCACCTCTGCCACCACGTCCGGGGCGACCAAGGTCTCCAAAATTGATCTCCAGCTGGGACGTAATATCATTTGCTGGTTTACGGAAGTGATGATCCATTACAGAGTCTTCAGCATGAGCCTAAAATTAAAATGAAAGCATCCACCACACCACTTAAAAAAAACTCCGATTTAAGGCCCTGCTCTTACAATCACTTAGCTTTAAGCAAGTACATAAGTATGCTAGGTTCAGAGTCTAAGATCAAGAAACCAGCAGGTTCTTCTCCTTATGAGAAATATATCAACTTTGTTTGAATAATACAGAAATTCCACTAACATACAAGCTGGCATACAGCAAAGGAAACATTTACCAAAAGAACTTTAAATGGAACACACTGGGCTATTCCTAGATCTTTCCTGTATTCCATTAAAGGAACAAGAGCTGATTTAGCTTTTCTGAAAACAGAAAAGAAAGAATTTACTTAGCATCCATATCTTTCTCACTAAGAACAATAAAAAGGCAATACTGAATCTCATTTTCTATTGTTCTCTCCTCTTCCAGGACCCCTGCTAGTTCTATATTTCAATTGTTATTCACTGAATGTCGATAACCTTTGCATATTTAACATGACTGCTTTTTAACTTTCTCTATTTGCATATCCCTCTGTACTATCTAAAGCCAAGAAAAAAAGTTTTATAGTACTTCACCCACCATACCATTGCCCCAAATGGCCAAATGGATTAGATGTACGCACGATATACTACAACCATGATGGCAGCGAACATACCATGCTTAAAAAAAGAACAAACTGGTATCATGAGCTATAGTGAAAATTACACAAGAGCCCTAACTTTGTGCTATATTAGTGCATACTTAAAAAAAATCTTCTGGAGCTAGTTGGCCCCCAAGGTATTCAGCATTTATTGTATTGAGGAATCCTAAGTACCAGTACCAAAATGTATATTGGCAAGTCAGTAAGGCTGGGTGTGTTATTAACAAACACATACATAATACAATTAATCATTAAAAAACAAAAAACAAAATCAGTGGGAAGTCTAGAAAACTATATCAACATTACAAAGCAATTTACATGCATCTTTTTTGAGCTGGCTTCCTGAAATGTACTTACTGAAACTGAAAACTTAATAGCCTACCAGGAGAATTAGTTTTATCAAAAGAGTTAGCTTATTCAAAAACAGATTTTATCAGAATAAAGAGCCATAAATAGCAATTGTCAGTTAACATTAAATAATTTAATTTCAAAGAGAACATAATCCCCCCTTTTTTGCTGAAGTTAAAATAAATGTTTGTTGACTTCAGACCGATTATTTTCTACTATGATTTTGGGAGGGGGGAGAGGAGGAGAAGAGAAGGAGATGATTCAACTATTGCAATAAATACACATTATGGCTTGAACAACCAGAGGCTGCATAACACATCAGAAAATGAATATTTTTAGTAAACTGGGGTAGCACATAAAAGCCCCACTGTGAGAATCATGGAAGGCCTCACTGTGCTAGGCTCTATACAAACATATATAAAGATACTGTCCCTGCTCAAAAGAACTTACGATCTAATTTAAGACAAACTAACAAGAGAGTAAAAAAACAGGAGGGAAATGAGGGCAATAGTAATAAGAACATATGATTACACCGGCACATTTTATGCATGGCTTGATGTTTCCACCTCATTTTGAAAGCTATTCTAAGTATGAACGAACAAACAGCAATTCTCTCTGGCACTATCTCGCCATTATCAGCTGATGATTTCCTGTAGGCATCACGGCAGAAGTGGGTCTTGAGGTGGGTTGTGAAAAATAACTTTATGGACTATCTCAGGGAGGTGGCTTCTGTGTATAAGGCGTAGTATGAAAAAAGTAAGAGGGACTTATGAAAGAAGTAGACAAGCAGACACTTAGGAAGCAAAGGGTTGTAATTTTGTGGGGAGCAAACATTCTAGTTATGAAATGGTCATACGTGATACACAGCAAGGCACCAGGCATGGACAAAAGAGTTATATATATACACACCATATATTATATGCTCTATTGTTATTAATTTCCTTGCATATAAATGTTTTCATATAATGATTAGCTGATTAAGGAGGTCACATCAAAACATACCGTATATACTTGTTCATAAGCTGAATATTTTTGGTAAAATATGATGCATCAAAGAGCGGGGATCGGCTTATAAATGGGTCGACACCAAAATTTGATTATTTTAAACTCTATGGAATCACTGAATTGAATATCTAATTTTTTTTTTTTTTAAACCGGAAGCGTCTGCAGGCATGGAGCCCCTCAGCTCCCATTGTCTTGGAATGGCAAACCATGGACACTGGGAGCTGAAGGGCTCCGTGGCTGTGAATGCTCCAGGTAAACAAAATGTCCAGGCCCGCTAGCGGCTTACCCTAACGGGCCAGGAGCCAAAGTTTGCCAACCCCTGAAATATAGGGTCGGCTTATGAAAGGGACATACTATTGCTATTTTTACGTAACCATCTTGGGGGGTCGGCTTATAAACGAACGGGCTAATGAATGAGCATATACGATAAATATCACTAATTACAGCTATAAAGGATTGGTACCTCATTTGACTCCAGCGGACTCCCCGGCATTTCTGTCATCCCCTTTGTCTGATGCAAGTTGTGTGTCCACACCAAAGGTATAAAAACAAAAGGAAGAAATGAGACTCCATTACATACAGAAATACCAGGCACTAAGATTAAGTGAACCGGCTGAATACATACGCCACTGAGTACATGAAACAATAAAAGGCTACACAAGTACCCACAAAGAGAAAAAGACTGCGTACAATTGCAGATTCATGGAGTGATGTATCTTGATTCAACAGTGGTCAAATTTAAAATACCACAACTGCAAACCCAGTGAGGAAACAAAGATGCAAATTCACATCTCAGGTTCTCAGTGAGTGGTACAGTATAAGAACCTAAGATGGTCTATTAAAATATTGCTCATCCAGTAAAAAAATATCTACACATAGTTTGGATTTGTGTGTCACTGTTCCAACTGTAAGGCTGATATAAGAAATCTTGTGTTTTTCACAAAGGGTCAATTTAAAAAAAAAAAGAAACCAGAAAAAGTTTACAAAGAGGACTTACAGTTTTCTGAATTTTCAAAAATCTCAGGTATTTTCCAACAAACAATTTAAAGCTTTTTCAGGTACCTCCCATCACACTCTCTCTCTATGAAAATTAGGACAGGCAAGAAAGCTTGGAAGCATAGTAAACAATCTGTACAGCAAACATGTATGATATGGACTGATTTGCCAGCAAGTCTTTCACCATTAAAATTATTTAAACCTGAAACGTTAAATCCTTTTTACAATGCCATTTACATTTTGATTTTTCAGCTACGTCAACAGAATTTGTGTATTTGACTCAGTAAAACAAATCTGAAGGGAAACATTTGAGGTTTGTTTTATGTCACACAATCCAATTTAATGTGTACGTGGAAAGGGTTTTATTGGATTTGGATCAGGATTCCCAAAATTCAACAGATCTCATCTTAAATCTAACAATGAGAGACACTTTTGAGTGAATGTTACTAGACAACCACCGGTTTTTTACTGTTTCATGGAAAATCTGAAAAGGATAAAACAGCTAGATAAATGCTTGGCTGCAACTCCTTGAAACAGCAAACAAGAAAATTGAGGTTGGTATGGGGGGCAATTCTTTCATGACTTTAAGGCAGATGGCACTTAAGTCCTCTATCCTTAGAGACTCAGGGTGGCACTTGCCCACCAATTATCTCAAAATGTATTTGAAGGGTTGAAAATTGTTCCATCACCAAGCCCATTCAATGCCTGATTACTCTGTTGAGACTATCAATTGAGGCACACGGTGATCATCTGTATTGTCCACAACAGTCCAGAAGGACCTGGACTGAAACTTCAAACTTATATACAAGCCAAACCACTATTGCATGGCAACTTTTGATTGCTATCGATGAGAGCAAAGTTTGCACCAGTGGCCTAAATATGAATTATTCCATATCACATCATCAGATTTCATGCTTTCATGGTTGATCAGGTGGTATGAAAGAAGGAGGAATGGAAATAGCCAGAAATATCGATTTCCAGATTCTGTTTGACAACTTTTGGATTATTGTACTCCTCAATCTTTTGGGAGAGAGCTCATGCAACTGCTATTCTGGGACTTATGTTATGAAAAGCTCCCTTTCCATATTTAGCTAATAAAAACGTATCTCCTTCCTTGAATCAATGACAAATCAATACGGATGGGGAGAGGCGTTTGTTGAGCTGAAATACTGAGAGTCTTTATATAAATTTTTAAAAATTAAAAATTGCAACGCCAGAAAAAAGAGAGTTACTAATTAAGATAAAAGATATGGTATGTATATACCTTTGCATGTGCTCAACAGTATTGCCGCAGTATTTTATCCTTATTTTATTTTTAGAGGAGACAATAAAATTCAAGTCTCCTTGGCCAGATACCAAACTGATCTGGTTAAGAGAAAAAGGTTCCAGACTGTCTGCATGACTTCAAGAGCTGCTAAACTTCCAAAGCAACATTAGATTGCCTTAACACACAAACATATAGGTAAATAAAAAATCAATTATTTAACAGCAATTAGAAAATTCTCTCTCTCTCTGAAAGAATTATATGGTCTATATACCTTGGAAGTCAGTTTTTCCTAGTATAATCTCATCATTCTCCACTTCGCCTTTCTAGCAAGAGCTGGATCTTATAGAAACAAATTAACCCAGGAAATTATTTTTTTATTTGTGTTACTGTAGCATCTAGGAGCCCTAGTGATGGATCAGAACCTCGCTGTGCTGGGCAGTATATAAACACAGAACAAAAAGACAAACACTGCCCCAGCTTACAACTTACTTTCCCCATAAAATACGGACTCCCAATGATGTCATTCCAAAAGGCTTTTCAGAAGAGTGAATTCGTTTATTTCTATACTGCAAGGCAAAATTTAAACTAAAAAATAAAAACCTGTCTTTTCTACTGATGCCATGCACATTCAAGTGTTTTTATTGACAAATTTTAAATATTCTTTAGTTTAAGTAAAATGGCAACTACTGAGTCTGTAACAGCACACAGATCTAAGCACTTATATAGCCACAATCACAGTATTATCCAAGTACTGCCTAGTCTCAGAATGTACTCTTCAACAAGAGGCTAGTATTAGTACCCTCATTTTATAGACGACGAACTGCGGCTAGAGTGCTCATCTATCCATACATGTAGTTTAAATTCTATGAAAAATAAATTGTGTATGTATACTTAACAAGAGTGACAGATGTAAAAAGCTGAGAGCATCAATTTATCCAATTGGAAAAACTAAGGAGAGTAATTACAATTTACTGGCTTAGTGGGAGTCAGTGCAAACTATGGAACAAAGTTCTAGATCCTTGGCTTGTCACAGACCACGTCACTCATCCTTTTTTGAAGCTAATATTTAAAACAAAGACCAACTAAAAAGCCGCTTAACAACTGTTTGCAAAGCTGTTTTAAACCACTGGCCAGCCTGCATTTGAAAACGATGCAGTTTTAAGTTTCAGGAGAGGAAGCAAATTCAAAGGAATTTGCATCTGTGAAGCTTCTAACGCCAGTGTGCGAGGTCCGATAATCTGCTAGATATTGTGGGGATTGGATACTGTGATTCTTCATAAACACAGGATTGCCCTGCTTCTGGTTCATAAAACAGTTACTAGAATGAACATTACAGAAAAATAGCAAGTACTCCATGGTTTCTTTAATTTAATATTCTTTACAGGTGCTCTAGGTAGCACTGCAAAACATCAGGATACTGACATTATGAAATTAGATGTTACAGACAGGGCCTGTATGTTCAGACACATTTGTACAGGGCCTACTAGAATGAGCTCGTATCCTGACTGAGACCTTTGGGCATGACAGTAACAATAAAAAATTACTGAATGTATTATCCGATACTTGATCAAATGCCTTTCAAAGTTTAAGCTATAATTTGTTTAAATGCACTTACATGTTGATAAGGTAAGGTTTTATTTTAAATGCTCAAAAAGAACTTCCTTATGAACCTATCAAAACTGCAGTACCTCTCCAGAGTTTTACTTTTGTAGATAAAAATATAATACCCACTAAGCTAAAAAGAGACAGCCCAGTAGCCGAAACTGACTGCACTAAACAGTTTTATTTATGCTGCTTAAAAATTTTAATAGCAAAGCACCCTAATTCCTGCTTTTAAACAGCAATTTTATTGCCATAATCTTCATGTCAAGAAATAAAATCTGCAAGGCAAACAGTAAATATATTTTAACAGCATGAGATCTAGGCACTTTGGAACACCATTAAGTTTTACTTTACCTCCTCACTCTTTGACTTATGGAGAACAAATCCTTTTTTCCATTGCCCATCAGCACCCTCATTTGGTTTACGGATGTTGAATTCAACTTTTGCACGATCCTTATTCTGAATAGCTTTCCATTCATCCAGGGTCATTTCTTTTGGGCCTTCTTCCTTAACCTCTTCCACCTCATTCTCTCTGAATGAAATTCATTTTTATTATGATTACTTAATTTCTATTCATTAATATTTTAAATAACTATGCATAGCAAATCCAAAAACAGTGCATCAGTATCAGAATATAGGGGAATTCATTGTGTCAAAGATTTAGTAGTAGTTATTAGGATACAGAGTAGAAAATCTTCAGAACTCTGCCCTACAGAAAAGGTGTGTTGCTTTTCAAAAGTAAGATGGGATGTCCACCCTAACCAACCAATAAAAACTCAGCAACAGCCCCTGAACAAAATGGGAGTAGAGCACAGTAAACAGTTTCAAGTTAGTAAGGCCCAATGTATTTCTATACCCATTAATGCTATTTTTCACAGCAAATGAGATTTTTACCTTTTGCCATGGAATCAGTTTTTCAGATGTCCCTTAGCAGATGATGAAAATAAGACTGGGATGGCAAGCAAATTAAGTGAGGGACACTATCATATGCTGTTCTCAGTCTTGGCAATTTTTCAAATACGTATTTTAATAATTTTGTTTCTTCATTCAATTTCTAATCTTAAAATGCACAAAATGGTTTACACCTCCACCAGATCACAGTTATAGTCTCACCTGCCTTGAAACAATAATGGTAAACAACTTAAGATCTGATTCCTAAGTATTGCAGTTTCACCCACTAAGTGTCTCTGATCTCTGCCGAAAAACCTCCTATTTGTAACTTTTAAATACTCGGTCACTGTGTTCAGTAACAGGTTGTGCTCTAATTACTCATACTGAGACCACAATGCTGTACCTATTTCACCTAGTATGTTTATATAGGGCAAATGATTCCACTAACATTCACTATTTACATTTCATTGGACTTCTTGGGAGAACAGTGTACACAGGCATATGTAAAATACTATAAAAGCATCAACTAAATGAGAAAGTTTCTTGTTATTTAGTAACCTTAATTTTTGGTGTGATAATGGAAAGGTATTTTTTTTAATGTTAAACAAAGACTCAGACTTAAGTACTCAGCTGAAACAGTTCAGCTGTTTCAAAGAACAAGGTTATGGAAAATAAGTTTGGCCATGTTAAAAAAATTGTTTTCAGCTACTCTGCTAAGAAGCTCTACTATTCCATGCTTTGGAGGAAGGATCTGAAATTTGGCAAGGAGGATCACCCAGGTTTCAGGATGCCTTTTGCCATCTCTCAAAATTTGCACAGATGTGGAAAGATATAAGCCTCCAAAAATATCTCAGTTTGCACATGTTCAGCAAAGACAACTCCTGAGATCAGACTGCATGTGCCATCCCCAAAGAGCAACTAAGCATGCTGCCTCTAGGGGCACTGGAACTAAAAAACAGGAATGTCTGCCTTGCACCCTCAATACTACCCCCTCCTGGTGCCCACGCAGCATGGATGGAAAAGGAAGAAGCTCAAATGCAGAAGAGGATGATGAGGGAAGTGATGCTGGGCAGATAGGAAAAAAGCATAGGGAAGATGACTAGAGGCAACAAGGAGTAGCAGAGAAGGGGACAGGAGCAGAAGTGGCAGGTAGACGGGTGGGGGTGGGGGGGGGGAAATCAAGGGAAAAAGGGTCTGTAACCACTAAAGCACACTCTCTTAGGGCATGCTTACATCAACTTAACTATGTAAGTGTACACACCACAGTGTTCCTCCTGCCACCGTAACTTGCCTGCTACACCAACCTAGTAAATCCACCTTGACAAGAGGCGTACAGCTTAGGTTGATGTAGTTTGGGTGATGCAGCATCTGTAACTGTCTGCCACAGGGAGTGGGGAGCGGAGAGCCCTGGCAGTAGCTGACCTCCAACTGGGAGCTCCATGGGGAGTTGAGAACCTGGGTAGCAGCCACGCTTCCGGCTTGGAGCTTGGCACCGAGCCGAGAGCCCAGGCTCTCAGCCCTCCACACTGCCCCTCTTCAGTCAGTGCAAGCACTCCTAATGAGGACACACACACCACACAGAAGGACGGCAGCATGGACATGAAAAACTGCAGTAATTACTGCGGTGCTGTAAGTCGACCTAACGTAGGATTGACTTAACTTTGTAGTGTAGATGTGCCTTTAGAGAACCTAGAATTGATTTAATTATTCCTGAGTGAACTTTCTGAAATCCACTAGCAAAGTGTCTCCCCATCTCCTGCTAATGGTAGGTACACAACCTTCTTCCATTACCACAGTTACTCTATTAGCTCAAGCAGTAGAGGACTACTGTGAATTTAAAGATCCCAACCTGCTGATGACCCACGGGCAGGATCATCAATATAGTTTCACATGATTTTTTTCTTTCAAGTTTTAAACTTAAAAAAAGAAAACACTTAGGAAACTGCATCCAGAAATCATGTTAAAAGAACATTAACGTCGCAAAGTCAAGCACTCAAAAGTTAGGAAATTCCAAAATTAAGTACAGCATTAGCCCCTCTCGTGCATATGCATTATGATACGGTCTTTAATTACACTGGTCTACGATTTTTGAGAAGTCGTCTGCTTCAGAGATAAAATTTGCTATTTATT